TAGTAAACAGATTATGGCCTATGCCTAAATAATCAAATTAAGCTTTTTGCTACAGTGACTAAAGAGAAAATTATAAACCATTTTCAAAAAGAATAATAATAACCTGAACTAGAGATATGCAAAATAAGCCCATAAGATTTTTCATGTAGACCCTCCAATGTGAAAGCAAAAGTAAGAAAAGTGCAAGTTTGACTGCACTTGAATTTTTAACACAGCACAATTCACAACTGCAAAGAAGTGGAATCAACCTAAGTGCCCATCAATTCACTAGTGGATAAAGATAATGTGGTACATATATACCATGGGGTACTATTCAGCTATAAAAAGGAATGAAATTATGTCTTTTGCAGCAACTTGGATGGAACTGGACACCATTATCCTAAGTAACTCAAGAATGGGAAACAAACACCACATGTTCTCACTAATATCTGAGAGCTAAACAATGGTACACACGAGCAAAAAAGAGATATAAAGAATACTGGAAACCAAGAAGGGGTTGAGGAGTGAAAGACAAAAACATGCCTGTTAGGTGCAGTGAACACTACTATGCTGATGGGCACACTAAAAGTCCTGACTTAAGCATTATGCAAGATATTCATGTAACAAGAATGCTTATATCCCCTTAATAGTTTGAAATTTTATAAAAGGAGATGGTGCAGGTTTGAATTCATGCTCTGGTCCCCACATGCAAAAGCAGTGGTCAATTCAGGCCACCTAGAGAGGACTCAGGGATCATCCACAGCCATGGACACAAGGCTGCTAGCGCAGAAGGTTCTAGAAGCATAAGACTCCTCAGACAGCTCCCAGGATGGAATCTGTGCATGGGGCCATACGTCCTTTAATGCCTCAAGATCAAGTCAGCAATGATGATGAAGTTGGATTTTCCCCTCCTGTCTTTCAGGGTTTTCCCTTGCAAGCTCACATTACCATTCTGCTTGTCTTTTTTCTGCTCAACTGGTTGCTTTTTCCCTCTTAGACTGTGAGCTTGTTAGAGATAGGGAGGAGTCTGTATGTTCTCGCCTTCTGCCTTTCTTTCCCCTTCTCTGTCTCCAATTTTCTCTGTCACTGTCTCTCTTTGCCTCTTGTTCTCCATCTTCATTTCTGTTTACTTCAACTTCTAAAATCTCTTTTGGTTCCTCCTAAAGCATCTTCACGGGCTCTCACAGAAGAGAGCCTGGGACCACAACTGCGAAGGTCTTCCCTTTGTTCTTACCTCTCCCCTAAGGCCAAGCACATTTGTGCAAGCCAGGTCACACTCCCCTTTGGCACTGCAAGTATAGGAATGTGTGTGTCTGCATACACACTCACACTCACACGTTTGTGACTTTCTATTTATTTATCTCTTTGAAGAGGGTCTTAAGGACAACTATGTGATTATATTTGAATCTCTAGCGCCTGATACCTAGGAGGCACTTAACCAATGTTTTTTGAATGAATGCTTAATAAATAAGTCCTCCAGAAAATTCTAAGGTAACAAAAAATGTGAGACAGGCAGGCACCTCTGAAACAAGTACAATAATTAAGTGCTAAGCTATAAAAATGATTATAGGATTTGTAAACTACAAATCATTTCACTGCAAATTGCACATCACGGTATAATCGGAGAAGCTCTGTGTCTGAGTGGGAAGACAGCTAACATAGATAGTCTGCTTCTTTGTATATGAAGTATAGCTATCACACACACAGACACAAAAATGTCAGCTCACAAAAAAATATTTAGCAAACTACAGTGCACTCAGAGTTTAAGATAATGAAGCTAGCATTCACTTCCATTTATTCTTGTAGCTTAAACTATCTGAGTGGGGAGAAAGAGGCTACTAACTGTAAGTATACCCATGCACGTGGCCACTGCACATGGGGGCCTCCCTTCAAGATCCAGCCTCCTCCCATAAGCAGGATGGACTACCTCTCCTGTACAAAAATATGTAAGTTTTCTCCAACCATCCCGGTCTAAGGAAAATTTCACAAACAGAGGTTTCCTCACAATGCATTCCCTGAAGGTATGAGTTCTTTGAACAACTTGAGAACACGGCACAAACTAGAAGGCAGGCTGATGGATGGAAATGTAAATATGAAACTTTAATGAAGGCTCTTCCTTCTCACCTAAAAGGAGATGGTAAATCTTTCATGCCCTGCTCAGCAGGGCTTCAAGCATCTGGTGCCATTAGTGAGGTACTCTTCATCTAATCCGAAAAGCTAACACTGGTTTGTGATATATCATAATACCCAAACTTAACCCAACTCTTCCACTTCATGCAGTGAATATACACACATTTCCAGGGTCAAAATGAATCATCTCAAGAATGCTGCATTTTGTCCTTTTCTTTGGCCCAGTATTTGTCACATGTCGGGGCAAAGCTTCAATTAAATGAAATATGCAAAGAAGAGAAAAGCAACTGTTGGTGAAATGGATTACAAATTAATTAAAATTTTGCATCCAATTTCCATATCCAATGTTTTTGGAACTCTGTTTTCCTTGTATGGGGCTACTTCGACCATATGAGCCTTTTAAGCCTGGGACATGGCTGGCATAGTTGTGCGGAAGAAGGGGACAGAGCAAAGAAAAGCCTGGAAACAGAAGGAAACTTCAGGAACTTACAGAAGAGTGAACAGGAAGTGGGTAGACCCTGCCCAGTGTTTGCCTGGATCAAGAATGACACAAATCTCAAAACAGCTACGTCAGGAAGGTGGCTTTGGAGAAGAAAAGCGAGAAGAGTGGGAAGATGCAGAGTGAACAGCAATGAAATGGGAACAGTTTCAGTCAGTTGACAGATGTATGAGGCTGGATTTGATCCTATAAACCAGTAGCGTTGGGATCCAAGAGTCCCCTGAAGAAACTCAAGGAGAAATGTCTTGTGCTGTCCACAGGCATGCTGCAGAGAACCTGATGACTGTGTGAGGCAGTGGGCAAAGTAGCTAAACACACAGTTCCTGCTATCTAGCTGAGTGATCTTGGGAAATTGTTTACCCTTTCTAAACCTCAGTTATGGGGTTTAATAGTACCTGACTTTGGTATTACCAGTCTGACCACATCCCTAGAGGCCCTCAAGGTGTTTGAGAACCGATGCTGTTTCTGAATGATTTTGTAGTTTTAGCCCTCTGCCTCGAATATCCCCCTCAAAAAAGCAAGGCAATAACTATTTCTGAAACTACTGCTTCTGACATGATATCTACTTACCCTACCGTCTGATTGATTCTGGCAAGAGGAATGAAAGCCAACAGATACCCGGATAGTCAATAAAAAAGCTGGGAGAGAATTAGAAGGGTAACCAGATTCCTCAAAAACCTAAAAAAGAACTACAAATTCTGCTTCTGAGTATATGTCCAAAGGCCTAGGAATCAATATGCCAAAGAGATATCTGAACTCCCATGTTCATTGCAGAACTAATCATAATGGCCAAGATACAGAAGCAATCTACGTGTGCATCAATGAATAAAGAAAAAAAAAGAAAATGTGGTGTGTATACACAATGGAATACTATTCAGCCTTTAAAAGAAGGAAATTGTATCATTTTCAAAAATATGATGAATCTAAAGGATATCATGCTAAGTGAAATAAGCCAGACACAGAAAGACAGACAGCGCATAATCTCACTTATGTGTGAAATCTAAAAAAGTTGAGCACGTGGAAGCAGAGAGGACAATGATGATTATCAGAGCCTGGGGGTTGGGAATGGATGGGGAAATGTTAGTCAAAGAGTACATAGTTTCAGTTAGACAGGAGGAATAAGTTTGTGAAACCCACTGCACGGCAGGGTGACTATAGTTAATAATAATGCATTGAATATTTCAAAATTTTAAGAATAAATTTCAAATATCTAATCACAAAAAAATGATAAGGTGATTGATATGCTAATTAGCTTGATGTAAAGACTCCATATTATATACATATTTTAAAACATCATCTTATGACCCATACATATACACAGTTATTATCTGTCAATTAAAAATAGTATTAATTTTAAAAGACAGCAAATTTTTAAAATCTTTAAATAAAAAAAAATAATAAATGAAGAGAAACCAGTGCTGAGCCTATCTCCGTTCTGCAGCCTTTTTCTGTCTCCCACTAAGTGGCACCCTGTCTCCTTCCAGATGTCCATTCTCTTCTGTAGACCTCGCTTCCTTCCCCCTCTGGGAAAGTAGGAAAAGACCTCACAAAGGTCACTGTAGCAAAGGGAGCACGTCCACGACCACCTCTTTCACATCAGATTTGTGTTCTAAGTTTTATCTTCAATGTGATAACAGGCCCTCCGTCCAGTTAAGGGACTTTAAGCATGGAAGAAATGAAAAGGAGGAATCGTACAAGTGACATAGAAGTCATAGTCAATAACGGAAGACTACTCTGCCTACAGCTAAAGCCTGTCCTAACTCAAGCTGTGGCAAATAATTCAATCTCCCTTTAATTAATCAGTATCACCCATAGCCTCAAAATTGTCACTCGAAACATTAGAAGTTATTATAAACAGAAATTGAGACTATGTACTAATTCTAGATCATAACCTAGAAGTTCCTCTTTGGGGAAAAACCACAATATTATGCTGTTATAATTGCTTTGATCTCATCTGATCTTTTCTCCTAAAGCTGAAGCAAAACAATTGTAACCAGTTGAGGAATCCCATTAAGTGTGACCCATTAGCTAGGACCCTCCACGTGACCCATTAGCTAGGACCCTCCATGTGACCCATTAGCTAGGACCCTCCGTGTGATCCAGAGCTACAGAGGTTTCCACCTACTTTTTATTTATGCAACTCATTATCCAACAAACTAAAACTGGCCTCCCATGCAAGCTGACCTGAAAACCCTCCTGATCTCAACTTGATAAGAAACACTGGATTAATTAAATCTAAGCATGGGTGTCCTGAACTGAGACAACGGCTCCCTCGGTGAGAACTGCAAACACAAACTCCAGAAGCCTTTCATGGCCAGGTTAACGTGAACAGCTGTCCCCTCGGCTGCTTTTCAATTAATCAGGAAGGTGGCGGCTGCCTGCTTACCTGGGTCGGGATGAGCAGAGGCTCCTTTGGTGGACGTGGCATGTAATGAGCAGGACCCATAGCCAGCAATTGGGAGAATCCAATACCACAGAGCTCCTGCCCCCACCTGCAACTCTTCTCTTCCCCAGCTTGCCGCATCAAATACCATTCCAATCTGCACAGGAAAAATACATAATGAAAGACTAGGAGCACACACCTGCGTGCTTTAATTCTAGGGTTTTGAAAATGGGAGGAAGCCAAGGCATCAGAGAGACACAGAGAGGTCAAGGGAGTGAAAGCCAGAGTCCTGGGACCAGAGGGGCCCCTTCAGTGGTGGTGTAGCATTTGCAGATGACAGTCTTTCTCATTTTGCAGCCCAGGAGCTAGGGGAGGGGTCGAAAGTGACAGATTGCTATAAGGATAACAGTACAAAGTTAGGGCATCCGAGCCAGGGCTCAAGGTTGAGGGGCGAGGGGAGGAAGGGTAGGCCTGAATCTCAATGTATTTGGCAGCTGGCTCACAACTGGATACAGAGATCTCAATCTTATTGTAGTAAAGATTGCAATATCAGTGCTAAGCATTGAGCATCTATGATGTACCAGATCTTTGAACTTACTACATGTAGTTACAACTTATGTATCAATAACCCTCATTTTATCAGTCGAGGAAGTTAGGGCTCACGTGGGTGAAATAGCATCTTCAAAATCAATCACGTAGGGAACAAAAGCTGAAGGCAGCCCTCAGCCCCAGCCTGACTGTGCGTGCCCCTTTGTGTCAGGGCCACCCACCATAACCCTCAGCAAACACAAACACACAGGCATTTCTGCAGGCCAGCGTGCCTACTGTTCTCGTCAGCTCAGCCTCCTAGAAGTTTATTTTAGGAGATGTGCTTTTAAAAGGGAAAACTGGAGTAAACTGATGTCAAGCCAAGAAAACATACTCTCTTCTGGGTCTAACTGCAATTAGCACATAAACTCAGCCTCAAATTATGATGTATTTAGCACTGGAAATTAAATTCATTAATTATTGTGTAGCCACCACTGAAACCTTGCAGCGAGTCCATCCTCTGAATAAAATATTTTCAAATTAATGGCATACTTATTCTTTCTTATTAACAATTTAATAGCTATGCGAAAAACATTGAAAACACAAAAAAAAAAAAAAAAAAAAGGTGGTAGGAAAACTGGAAGATAATCGAATAGGCAGCATCCTAGACTGGAAAGCAATAGAATTATGAGCTCTAGAAAGAACCATTTCTGTCTTCAAATGTGAGAGACAACTGAGTTAATCCTTACACCAGTGCATACAGTAAAGATTGCCTATTTGTTACTTCTTTAAAACTTGAAATTTGCACTGTATTTGCTTATATTCTCACTCACTCATGCATTATCTTTCCTCTTTATTTGATGATCAACACACACGTATTGTTTCAGGCACTGTGCTAGACTCTAAGGATCCCAGGTACAACAAGACATAGTGCTTGCCCACAGAAGGTCACAGTCTAGTCAGAAGATAGACACAAAAATATAAAGTACACTATGTGATAAGGATAGAGCTATGCATAGGATATTATAAGGACTCAGAGGAGGATTGGAGGAGAATACTAGGGGAAACCAGGAAAACTTCTTGGAGGAGATGATGTTGGAACCAGATCTTTAAAGATCATAAAAGTCAGCCACCACAAGGAATGGGAGGGAGGAACAAAGAGGAGGCCATTCCAGAGGCAGCCGAGCATGAAAACATGCATGTGGACTAGAAATAGGGTGATGTGCACCATGTTGATCCCACAACCAGTTCGGTAGGCATGCAATGAGATTGAGGGGAGAGAGTTAAGCAGAGAAGACACCATGGAGGGTCTTACATTAATCAATGTTAATAAATCTGGACTTATCTCATCAGAAAACAGTTTCCCATCATAATATTTGCCATTCAGGAAACAAATTGGTATTTTACAACCAGGAGTGAGATGGTTCATAAGTGAGATTTTACTAATAAAAATTTTAAATAACTAAGGTTTTTATATAATGGACTGTTTTTATACACAAGTTCAAAGTTAGTCCTATAATAACATACATAACCCTTACTTAATCACATATTGATATGTTTTCTTGAATGGGCACAAGAGTGGAAGTTAAGCTAACAAGCCAAGAAGTGAGCACGACAAGACCAGGGTGTCTCCAGGAAGGTCTCCCATGTGAATAGCATTTGTCACACGCCCCTCCATGAGGCTAAAGCTGACAATGACTATAATAGTGGTGGACTGTCCCTGAGAAACCATAGAAGTTTTATTACATGCTTTCCTCAGCCAATTTGTAAACTGTCACTTTGCCACCTCCATTCCCAAGGCATTTCCTCTCCCCTCCATGACAACTTGCACCATCACTTTTGTTAAAAAGTCAATGTCAGCATCTAGAACAATTCTTAAGTCTGGGTGATGTGCCATATACGCTGATTGTTGAAAGAATCAAACAGGGCTCAATTTTCTAGCACCGATTATCTGTCATCTGGTGCCTTGCCTGTTATGTAGCACGATACAGTGGCAATATAGATAACTAATTTAAAAAGTTGACACTGAAAGTGAGGTCTGATATGCAAATAACCTAAAGTATATAAATTGGTTTGGGAAACAGACAGTACGGAGCAAGGAAACAATTATAGGAGGATAAAAAATACTCAGAAGACTGTTAGAATTCTGGAAAATCATGAGAAACTGTGAGCCAGTGCTGGAAAAAAATGGTAAAATACCAGCTACAGGAAGCTAGAAAAATAGTGACCCATGTCATGTCATAGTGAAACATTTGGTAACCTCATATCCTTTCACTAAACAATTACACTTATAAACAAATCCAATCAGAGACAGTTCACACTAGTAGCATCAGTTCTAGAACCAAAACTGTCATCTCTCTTGGATTGCTGACTAATCTAACAAGATGGTCAGAGTCCTTAGTCCAAAGTTTTGACAAGGTAATTTTTTGCAGTAAAAACTCTGGGATGAAAGTACTTCAGGAAAACAGTCATTTAGTCTTTACACTGTCATTAACTACATAAATGAAGTCCTGCCCCTGACTTCTCTGTGTCTCAGCTGTTTCATCTGTAACAAGCAAATTAAGAAGATAAGGACACCAGGAGAGAGACGTGCCTAGTGCACTTCAATCTTTTTCTGCAGCTAAGTATGAAAAACATACCACAATCAGGAAAGAAAAGCCAACCAATTTTGTCACTGACCAGCAGAAGAAAGCTTGGGTATAATCTAGAAACAATTGGCTTGCATGGCATAAAACACCAGTAAACAAAAGTTTACCTGCCAGAGAAGAAAATATTTTTTTTAATCAACATGGAATCTAACAAAAATTCTGAGACAAATACAAAGCAAAAGGCAGATAAAAAAAAACTTTTTCTGAAAGATGAAGAACATTTGAGGAAAATGATTTCTTTGAATTTTTCAAGAAAATAAAAGAGAAATGAGACTTTGTTTTTTAAAAAGATCTAATATAAGAGATAATAGACTGGGTTAAAAAAAAAAGGCTGAAGAGCTAAGGAAGAAAATTCAGGAGAAGGCAGATATCATTGCAGAAGTTTAAACTGAATTTAAAAGCAAAAGTACACCACAGGTAATACTAAAGAAAGTGGCAAGGAGAGAATCAAAGATATGGCAGAGAAAAATAAAAAAAGAGACACAACGTACAGACAATTGTTTCCTCAAAAACAATAGAATAAAGCAGAACAAAATAAACATAAACGATGCATTTTTGTCATAACTATATTTAGAACAAAAATGCAAAAAAATCAAAAAGTTAATTTTTTTATCACTAGATGATGGAACATTGTGTAATTTTTATTAGTTCTTTCCTTTTCTATTGTTCACAGTTTTTTGACAATAAAAAATCTCTCTTCGTGGTTTTAAAAACCAAAATCTTACTGGTAGACTCAGCAAGTTGCTCCAAGGTGTTCCAAGGACTCATATCAAAAGCAAACCAGGCCATGGTAAAATGACAATCACTTCAGCAAACGAGGTCTTTGTTCACTTCTCAGACAGCTTTCTTGGTTCAGCCATGCTACTTCTTCTATAAAATTAGACAGAATTTGAAATATTATTGTAAGGATCAGTTGTTCTTCGAAATAGATGCAACTGATGGGTCTTTACTACCACCTATGCCAGAGAGCCTGTGCCAAAATTTCTAGAACCCAGATTAGTTTAGCATTTAGCACACACATTTCTTAGTTTTATCCTGTTTCTCCTATCTAGAACCAGAGATGAAAGCTTCAGAGGTCAGAAACAGTGTTGTAACCTCTCTTGCCTTTCTCACAGGGGCTAGCATAATTTAAGGGACAGAGATGGTTCCCTAAATAGTTCTGAAAATAGATGCTGAGTCCATCTGAGAAGCAAATGCCAGTAACAAGCCAGTTACATGTGTCTTTGCTTCAAAATCAGATGACACCAAACATAGGACAACATGGTTCTTTTTCCTCCTAGATGGAAATAAAATTCTTTTGCCTTATCCCAATCTCCAAAAAGTCAGCAGCACTCTTTTTCCTCCAGTCTGAAAGACAGAGATAATAAAGGGCAATGATTCCATGCTCCGACTCTGTTCTTTTGCAAACTACAACAAGTAAAGATCAATGACAACAGGACAGCCTTGCTCTGCAAACCACTTGACGGAATCAACTGAAGCTATTAGAGATGGTCATTAAGTTTCACATTCGCAGAAGGTCCAGCTCTATGATCCTTCTTGGAGGGAGTTCAGGGTTAATCTGATGTCCTTTTTTTTTTTTTTCAATTTCAGGCAGGTAGGTAGGAGTTGGTGGGCTTCATTTGTCAGGAAAAGCATCTTACCTCAGTTCAGAGAAGAAAGCAATTTACTGGTGCAAGCGACAGCTCCCGTGAAATTCATCCAGCTGTCCAAGGTCGAGGTGGAGGTTCTCATCCATACCCACCAGCAGGAACGAACATGAAATGAGGAGACACAAAGAAAAACTACAGTTTTCTCTGCAAGCCCTAAACACCTGACCCCAAATGGGGATGAAAAATATAATGAAATAATAAAAAGAATTTGTCGGATGGCTTCCTCCTGTGCTCCTCCCTCAAACCCACAGTAGTTGAGGAGATTAATAAGTGCCCTATACATATACAAAAAGTTAAATGGATTTCCAGAGTGTGGAAAACAACCATTTTATGGTTTCAGCACTTTGAAGGACTATTTTGTATAGTTTTTTTCACCTAAGTCATGGATCAAGTGAACCTCCATGCCTGGCACCAGAAGAAATCTATAGTATTTTTTAGATGATTAAGTGAATGGCTATAACCTCGGTTCTAATATTTCTTTCTAATCTAAAATGCCCCCTTCCTCTAAACTACATCATTAGCCTCTTCTAAAATGTGATTCAAGTGGAGATTGCTCAGCCGGGATCCCACATCATTCCCTCATGTTCCCTTCAGCAGCTCCTTCAATCCTTCAGGTACTTATAAAAATGAGGCATAAATTGTTAGGACATTTTACATTACCTATAAATATTTAAACTCAGAACAAACTATCTCAGTCACTTCAGGCTGCCATAACAAAGTACTGTAGACTGGGTGGCTTAGAGAACAGAAATGTATTTGCTAGTCGTTCTGGAGGCTGGAGGTCCGAGATCAGGGTGCTGACATGTCAGGTTTGGGTGAGGGGCCTTTCTCTGGCTTGCAGATGTCTGACTGTCCTCACATGGCATGGGCGGGGTGGGGGCCGGCTCTGGTGTCTCTTCATGTAAGCACACTAACCCCATTGAATCAGGGCCCTACCCTTATGACTTCATTTAACCTTAATTGCCTTCTCACAGGCCTTATCTCTAAAAATAGTCACATTGAGGGTTCAGGCTTCAACATATGAATTCGAGGGGTGATCATACAATTCAGTTCATAGCAAACAGGAAATGTAGAATCTTAAATTCTATTTACCCTTATATTTTAGAAAAGAATTATTCATGGTAAAAAAATACAAGGGTCAAAATAAATACAAAGGTCAGCACATGAAAGAGTAGCTAAATATGAGTCATCACCAGGAAATGCAGAATGAAATGGTCACATAATACTTGTGGAAATGCAAATTTTTTTTCACTTACATATAGGTACTAATACCTATATGTATTAATAAAAGCATTAGGAATTAAAGTCATTATTAAATATTCAAAGGCATATTTATTTTAACATTGACTTAGTTCACTTATTTACAGTTTTCAATACCTATCCTATTTAAGACTCTGTGCTAAATGGTGAAAGAGTAAAAAGATAAATAAGACCCAGTCTGGGATTTACAATATAAAGGGAGTGATATATATATAAATGCTTGCAATACAGTATAGAATTAACTCATTCAATAAATATGTTTTTAATACTCATAATTTTCTTGGCAATGTACCAAGTACTGGGATGATGTAGAGAAACATGTAACATACACCCTGAACCCAGGGAGTTTACTGACTAGCCTAAAACTTAGAATACATGCATATGAGACATAAAAAGTGCAGGTGAACTGAGTTGGGGGTTGGAGATAGGTCATTCAGTTATTGTGGGGTACCAGTGAAGCCTTCATCGCAGAGGTTAAAATAATACTAAGCCTTGACAGTAAAAGCATAAAACAATCTCCTCCATCACAAATTGGCCATTTGCTCTTCCTTACTGCAGGCATAAACCAGTTTCCAGTTTTCAGCAGTGATGTCTATATCTTCGTTGGCTACATATTCTTCAGTATGCCTGGCCAACTGCTCGCATGAGTCTCTGAGCTCCTGTGGTCAAATCCTCTGAAATATTTATCAAAGCTTTTTTCTAAGTATAGATCCTACTGGAAGATTTTCAATAACAGCAGAGTGAGCAGATTATCAATTAAAACCAGAGTTTGCAAATCCATTCTTGGCAGTCACAGACTATATAATCCAAAGAACTATTACACTAAAACAACTATATCCCAGATAAAATATTATTTTTAATGAATTTGTGAGGCCTCTTGAAAGAAATGAAAATCTCCAAGCCCTCACCCCTCCACAAAAGCCGAAAGTGGATCTGGAAGTAATCAGCAAACATTGAAGGTAGGCTTGCCCTGAAAACGCATGCTTCAGCAACTCTGAACTCGTATCTTGGGGCAACAACAAGTGGGAGAACAGAGTCTAAAACTCTCATAGTAAAGTCAAAGACCACCGAAGGAAGCCAATGTAACCCCAAATTGTGAAAATTCCTTACCAGAAGCCAACACAATCTTCTCCGAAGAAAATACATGGACAATTTAAGCCTCTGTGATTCCCAGGAATTAAAATCAAACAAATTCAATACAGTCAAAGATCACAAAACATGTAAGAGAAGCCATCATGGGTGTGACTCCACAGAAATAGTAAATAATACACTGAGGTCTCTGAGGACTTTGAATTCTAAAAGTGTAAAATATACATCAGAATGCAACTGTGAAATTAGCGTATCAAGAAATAAAAATCAGAATCATAAGAATTTCAGATAAGAGATACTCAAACTATATTTAAAATGACCGGGCATGTTTGGAATTGCTTCTACAAATGAAAAAACGTTGTTGGGAAAAAAATCAAAATTGAGATTAAATATCAGATTATACTTAATGAAGATGAAAAGAGTAAAGAAATAGAAATGGAGAAGAACATAATACAAAGAGATAGGAAAAGAGGTTAAATTATATGGAAAACAGGATGAGGAAGGCTTACAGCCAACTAATCAGATTCTCAAAAGGAGACTCTAGAGAAAATGGGTAAGAGATATAATTGAGGAGGTAATAACTGGTGATTAACGCAAAACAAAATATATCCCAAGCAGGGTACATAAAGCAATCCATAACTAGAAACATTGTAGTAAAAACATAGAATACTCAAACCAAAGAGAAACTATTAAAGTAGCCAGAGGGGGGAAAAATCATACAAAGCTGGCAGCAAATTTCTTAACAATGAAAGAAGCCAGAAAACAGTGGAATAATATTTTCAAAGGGTTGAGGAAGAAAAAAAATCCAAGAATGACATGGAAAAAGAATGACTTGAAAAAAAAATCCAAGAATCCACTAATCCAAGAATGACATATGCAATCTTTCACTAAATAACTCCCAAAGAAAGAAAATTATCAGACAGTAAGAAAGATAAGAAGGAAAAAAAAGTTGAGGAAATAAAAGGTTAACGTGTGTATAAATCTAATCAAATATCGTCTTATAAAATTATTATAATTATTGTTACAAAATAACAATAATGTCTAATTTAGGGGCTTAAGAGTACAGAAATAAAATACTAGACAACAATAATGTAAGTTGGGGCATGGAGGTGATCAGAGTAAAAATATTATAAAGTTCTGTATCAAAGGTTAAGAAAAAAGATGGGATTGGGAGAACAAAGAATTAGTTTGGTTATGTTATAGAATTTAAATTGGGTGATGATTCATTGTTATGCTTTATAACTTGCATTTATGTTATATATCTTCTTTAGCATCAAAACGTAATTTTTTTTTTTAAAAAAAAGCTTCTCTAGAGAAGTATTTTGCTTCCTGGGGCACAACACAAAGAACAAACGAGCCCCTTTGGGGTGCCCTCATTCTCCTTTCTGGACTCTTCTAAACTCCTCTGCTTAATCTATTTACCTGAGAACATGGATTAACCCCATGAATAAAAAATGAAGGAGACTCATTTAGTAATACTTTTTTATTGTTTTTTACCTGATAACAGCATCCTCTAGATTAGCAGGGATCAAATGAGATTTGTGCTTGCAAAATAGAAAATTAGCTACATGAAATGCATTAACCAGCTTTAGCAGCTTCTAGGCAAAGGGCAATTTCACAGACACAGGAATTAAAAAACAGTGTGTGGTGAAGGAGGACAGGAGGAGCATTTCAGTTGTAGGTGTTAGCTGATGAATATGCTGGGTGAGAGGGTGACTGTGATATGCGTGTAAGAATTGTACATATCCAGAAAATTGCAATACAATGTTAACATATGACAGCATGTTAAAGTGAGGGAGCATTTTATAAAATGCAGTTATATAAAACATATGAACATGTGTGTTAGTGAATGTGTTTAAATATGGGTGTGTTGTGGAGGTGTGTACATCTGTGTGTGTCTGGGTCTAGGTGTATCTGTTTATATGTGAGGGCTGATAGTGTATTACACCGGGGACATATTTGTGGGTAAGGATTCTGTGTACTGTGAAGGGCACTGTATGAAAATTTTATTTTTATCAAAAAAGTATAAGGGTATGTGTATGTGTGTGTGCATTTATGTATGTATGTGTTTAAGTGTGTGTAATATTTTTTTCCCTTTCCTGGTCCATCCTTTTAAATGACCAAATTACTTTTGATCAGAAATTTTGCTGAGAGCAACCAGATGTTAATGCCTTTATCCTTCCAAACATTAAGGGAATAAAGGTCCTTGTTGGACGAATAAGCACATTGAACATGTCCCCAAATGTTAATAAGAACATTGATTCACTTAATATGCTGGGTAACTGCCCTGCCTCAGATAAATGATTTCTGCATGAAGCCAAATCCTCTTATTTTTACAGCACTTGGGCAAGAGGAAATATCCAAAGGCCAATTGCTTGCCCAAGGCAGCCTGACATGTTAGTGACTTTTCTACCATAAAACAGACTTGAACTCTTATGTAATAAAAGAGCAAATGTTCTGTTACCTGGAAAGTAAAGAATAGATAATATTTTGGTTTAAAAGAACCCAATTATAAAATGACCAAATGCTATAAAGACTTCCCCAGGCCCGGAGACAACAACGGGTAAGTGATTATTACCCTCAGAAGGAGTATCTGGCCCAACCCAACCCCAGATGATAAGGGACAACTCCACCAAGCCCCAGTGCTTTGCTTAAGCCTAACCTGGGCTGAGAGGCAAACCCAATTCCATGCACACCTGTGATTCATAGCCTCAGGCCCTGCCCACTCCTGTGGCTAAGCAGCAACCCCAGAGACCTCACCCAACCTCTGAGCCCAACACATAGCCTTGCTCAACTTCAGATTCCAAACAACAGTAACACCTAGCCAGAGAGGACAACCTGCAAACCTGCCTGACCAGAGGTAATTGCAGACCTCAGCCAATAGCTCCACAGCTCCACCTAATGATAATTCAGATAGTGGTCTCGCTGAACCATGCAGCAGAGGCAGCAGTACCATTTGACTTCAGAGCACAGGAAGCAACCCAGCCAAACTAGAGAGCCTGACCTGTCTAGGGTTACTCCAAGCTAACTCATCCAGAATTTCAGGCTAACCTAAATAGTAAAGGTCTATGACCATTGGAGAACACCTGCAAAGGCCAGGAGAGATGGTCATCTCCTCAAATATACAGGCATCAATGTAAGAACAAACGATTATAAAACATCAGGGAAATGTGACACCACCAAAAGAAAAATAATGTTCCAATAATA